TCATGGACTACCCGAAAAACAGTAGATTTGGGGACGGGCCGGGTATCCCACTCCTTTATGGTAATACTAGAATGACCCTACCCGCTGTTAGGACAGGACTTACTGACCAAGATTGGAGCTCAGATAACTTTCAGACAAGGGGGGCTTCAGGTCACTGATGGCAAGGGCCACCCCATCCAGGTCCTGACCATGAAACTGGAGGATGAATACCACCTCCACCAGGAGGTGCTCCTGAGAGAGGATAATATAGACAGATGGCTCCAAGAATCCCCCTCAGTTTGGGCAGACACGGGGGGGATAGGACTAGCCGCTCACAGGACCCTGGTCCTGGTAGAGCTCAAGCCAGGAGAGAGTCCAGTAAGGATCAAACAATACCCCATGTCTCAGGAGGCCCAGAAGGGGATCCAGCCACACATCCGGAGACTATGAAGCCTAGGGGTACTAGTTCCTTGCCAGTCTCCCTGGAACACCCCCCTACTGCCGGTCAAAAAGCCTCACACAAATGACTACCGACTGGTACAAGACCTCCGGGAAGTAAATAAGAGGGTTTCGGACATACACCCAACTGTTCCCAACCCATATACTCTCTTGAGCTCCTTGGCGCCCTCCAGGGTCTGGTATACTGTACTAGATTTAAAGGACGCCTTCTTCAGTCTGCCGCTGGCACCCCAGAGCCAACCCTTGTTCGCCTTCGAGTGGCATAATCCGGAGGAGGGCTACAGTGGACAACTCACCTGGACACGGCTACCTCAGGGATTCAAAAATTCGCCCACCATCTTCCACGAGGCACTACACGAGGACCTGGGTGAGCACAGAAGGGAGCACCCTGGCCTCACCCTTCTACATCCTGATTGCTGCCAGCATGGCCAAAGACTGTGAGCGAGGGACCCAGGACCTGCTGGCTACCCTGGGGGACTTAGGGTACTGGGCATCCGCGAAGAAGGCTCAGATATGCAGGGAGAGGATAAGTTACCTGGGATATATCCTGGAGGGCGGACAGCGGCGGTTATCAGATGCCAGAAAAGAAACTGTCCTAAAGATCCCTACTCCCACCTCCCGAAGAGAAGTAAGGGAATTCTTAGGATCAAAACCGGGTTCCAGGTTTTGCTGAGATCGCCAGGCCCCTATGTGAAGCTACCAAAGAGGGGAAAACATTTAAGTGGGCTGAAAAAGAAGAAACTGCCTTTAATCAGTTAAAAAAGGCCCTCCTAAGTGCCCCAGCCCTGGGCCTACCAGACATTACGAAGCCCTTCCACCTCTTTGTAGATGAACACAAGGGAATAGCAAAAGGGGTTCTAACTCAAGCCTTAGGCCCCTGGAACTGCCCGGTGGCTTACCTGTCCAAGAAGCTAGACCCAGTGGCTGCCGGCTGGCCACCATGCCTAAGAATTATTGCGGCGACAGCACTCCTAGTCAAGGACGCAGACAAACTGACCCTAGGACAGGAGATCTGGATCACGACCCCACACGCCATCGAAGGGGTCCTGAAACAGCCTCCTGATATATGGATGAGTAACAAACATATGACTCATTACCAGAGCCTCCTACTCAACCCTCCACGAGTGCGGTTCCACCCCAGTGCAGCCCTCAATCCTGCAACCCTGCTGCCCAACTCTGAGCTAGGTGCTCCACTACATGACTGTCCGGGAATCCTGGAACAAGCACATGGATTCCGGACAGACCTGACCAACTGGCCCCTCCCCGATGCCACTTGGTTCACTGATGGCAGCAGCTTTGTGCGAGATGGACACAGGTATGCGGGTGCAGCGGTGGTCACCGAAACGGACACCGTATGGGAGGAGGCTCTACCCTCTGGAACATCAGCCCAGCGAGCAGAGCTCATAGCCCTCACCAAGGCGCTGATGCTGGAAGCTAGAAAACGGCTTAACAACTACCGGACTTGGGAGACCCAGTTTTACCAGACCAGCCCAAATACTCCCAGGAGGAGTTACAGTGGACCAAGAAACTCCCCATGGCCCAGGAGTGGTATACCCCTAACAAGGAGCTCGTGCTGCCAGACCGGCTCGGAGTCTCAATATTAGAGCACATGCATCGGTCTACTCACATGGGGGCCTGAAAATTAAAAGACTTAATCCGACATGCCAGAATCAAGATTCACCAACAGGACACCAAAATAGAGCAAGTTGTATCTGTCTGCAAGACCTGCCAACTCACCAACGCGAGAGCCACATCAAATAAAAAAAGGAACCAGGCTCAGAGGCACCAGACCGGGAGCCCAATGGGAAGTCGACTTCACTGAAGTCAAACCAGGAAAGTATGGTTATAAATATCTTTTAGTATTTACAGACACCTTCTCTAGCTGGCTGGAGGCATACCCAACCAAGCATGAAATGGCTCAGACGGTGGCTAAGAAGCTACTAGAAGACATCTTACCCAGGTATGGTTTTCCTGCCATGGTAGGATCAGACAATGGACCAGCTTTTATCTTGCAGGTAACACAGGCAGTAGCCAAGGCGGTGGGGGCACACTGGAAATTACATTGTGCTTATAGGCCCCAGAGCTCAGGACAGGTAGAAAGAATGAATAGAACCCTAAAAGAGACCCTTACCAAATTAACCATGGAGATTGGCAGGGACTGGGTGACTCTCCTACCGTATGCCCTTTACCGGGTTAGAAACACTCCTTACACTCTGGGTTTTACTCCCTACGAGATCATGTTTGGCAGACCACCCCCTGTTATTCCCAACCTTCGAGCTGAACTTCTTGCTGAGTTTAAAGATCAAGAACTTTTTCTTTCCTTGAGAAGGCTCCAGAGGGCGCACGAGGACATTTGGCCGTGCCTCCATGCCATCTACGAGGCTGGCCCGACCCCGACACCTCATCAGTACAGGCCGGGAGACTGGGTCTACGTCAAGAGGCACCACCGAGAGACCCTCGAGCCACACTGGAAGGGACCCTACATCGTGGTGCTGACAACCCCCACCACTCTCAAAGTAGACGGCATCGCGACCTGGGTCCATCACACTCAAGTTCGGCCAGCGGACCCCTCCTCGATCCGGAAGGACTTCGTCACGCGATGGGCCGTCAGTCGGGACCAACACAACCCGCTCAAGCTCAAGCTACAGCGCATTCGACCCACCTAATATTGGTAACTCTGTTAACTCTGCTTGCCATTGCTCATGCTGCCAGGAGTCCCCACGCCCCCCAAAACATCACCTGGCAGATCATAGACACCAGCTCAGGGACAATACTTAATCAGACCTCCCAGAGCCACCCCAGGGACACTTGGTTCCCAGAACTTTGCGTAAACCTCCAAATTCTGTTCCCCTTGTCACCATAAATGCAGCTGGTCCCATGATTGGGTCCGTAAGCTACATGACAGGGGGGAATGAAAGGGCAGGCCTACACCGGCCAACTCCATCTTGTTCTGTGTCCTTCACCTTGACCACACCTCCTCCCCTTGAGTAACCCCCCCCCTCACCTGCCTAACAGGACTCAGACCCTTCCCCAGCCAATCAGCTGAGGCCACAGCCATTACCTCACCAACTGCCCCTAGGCCCCAATAAAACCTTTGTCCCTTTGAAACTTGCTCTCTCTCCGGTATCTCACCGCTGGGTCGGTGCAGGTAGGGGATTGAGCTCGAGCTAGCTCGAATAAAGGCTCTTTTGCTTTTGCATCGGACTCAGCTCCCTAGTGGTCTTTGGGGATCACGAATTCTGGGCATAACAAGATCATGACCTAAACTGAATTTGGATGCTTAACTGACTGAGCCACCCAGGCGCCCCTACAGATGATCCTTTCTACTCAAGGAGGTTCATACTCATTGTCCACCTTGGATGCAGCTGCCTCTGCCTTCTGTAACTCTTTTATATGTTCCCCAACTGATCAATATTGACTCATAGGTAGGGACATCTCTATTCCCTTACTGAGCAAGAAGAAGCTACAGAAGATGAAACCTTCCACTTCCAACTACCTTAAAGATGTAACGATCAAAACTGTTTATGGGGGATAGGATGAGGGAGCATAAGACAAGCTGAGGGCAAAGTACAAGCTAGCATTACCCCTCTCCACCCCAGGTGGGATGTGTGTGATATTCCTCAGGCACTCCTGGCTGCCCAAGAACAAAGGAAAGGAAAGAAAACAAATGGTTAACTGGTAGAGATCCCAGTCATGCAGGACATGAGTTTCCATCAGTTTACAAATATCTTAGTAAATTAGGAGAAAAAGGCAATCTTATCAATAGCCTAATCTCTAGAAACCTATAGACTCAGTTTCCTGGAGCCCCCACATCACCCCTCATAGTAATATGGGGAAGAAAGGCAGGAAGGAAATGGCAGGTAATGTTAATTTCCTGATACCCTGCAGCCCATTGACAGATACTTGAGGCTGGCAGAGAAGAACATTTCTCAAGGAACTCCTTACTGTCTTAATGCTAATGCTTTGCTAGGGGAAAAAGTACCTTAGCTGGACAGTAGCTAGGTGCCCAGTATTCTGTAAATCTTCTTTAGCATATGAAAATCTCTTAGAAAACTTCCCTTGACTTTACCTCTACCAACGCCAGAGTATATAAGCAGTCACTCTTCATAACCCCAGTGCAGCTCTTTCTACCCATGGATCCTGTCCCTGTGCTTTAAAAAATCCTATTTTTTGCACCAAAGTTGTCTTCAAGAATACTTTCTTGGCCCTTGGCTCAGGATGCCCCCCATTACCCCCAAAACTTCATTTCTGGTGAAGTGGGGTGACATAACCTCACACCTGGCCCTCGCTGGGCCTCTGCCATTGACCTGCTGCAGGTGGCTGAACATGGGGATGAGATGTGCTCCATCAGTGTGCTAGAGGCAGGGGCAAGTGAAGGCAGCTGTTGGTTTGAGGCTGGGCCTGGAGTTGGGAGCTAGAAGTGTTCAGTCGGAGTTAGACTCTGCTTCTGTGGCCCCCATCCCTTGCTGGGGACCACAATTCCTGGGAGAGATGCTAATAGGAGCCTGCCCTATGTTCTTTAACCTCTCAGAGGGCCCAGAGGTCAAGAAGCACAGACTGGCACCATGGGATATGTGTTTATTTAGCGAACAAGGAGGGGTTCCATTAGTAGGGCAGTCTTGGGAGCAGCTGGTTGGTTGTGCAGTGAGGAGGGTCCCCTGGCTCTCTCAGTGCTGTCCAGGCTGTTGGGGACATCTAGGCGGTGCTGTGGGCAGAGGCTGGTGTGAGGGGGATGGGCTGGAGAGAGCCAGAGGGCACCTGAGAGGGAGTCAAGGGAATAGAGAGGGCAGCAGTGCTGGGCAGGTGGGGCAAAGGCAGACTTGGGACCCCCTCCCAGATGCACCCTGGCTCCCACCAGCCCCCACTCCAGCCATACTTACCGCACGCTTGCTCACTTATCCATGCACTGATCTATGGGGGACAGAATAGTCAACATGGGCAGGGGTATATGTGTGCTATCCCTGACCTCCAGGGCCCCTACACTGCCCCTCGGCTGCCTTGGGCCCCAGGCTGGACCAGCCACAGAAGCTCTGGAGTTCCCTTTGTGGATGGTACAGCAGAGGGCTAGATGATGGGGCAGGGACTTGGGGAGAGGCCTGAGGACAAGCACACCTGAGTGACACCTGTTCTCCAAAGGAGGCAGGTGAGGCCCAGCCACAGTTCTGATTGGGCACCAAGCCTTCTGCCTGTTTACCTTCTGAGTCCTGACAGACCCTCAGCCTTGAGGAGGTACCTGCCCAGGCCAGGCTGCCTGAAGACAAGGGTGCCTCCCAAGTCAGTGGTAAGTCAGCCCCAGGACAAAGGTGAGGTGACCCAGGACAAATATGCCTGGGTGGAGGGGGAGGTGACCAAGCAAGGAGACCGAGGACACATGGCCCCGGTGCTGCAATTCTCATGTGGGCAGGCGCAAGCTTGTGTGAGGGAGGAACACTTGGGGCCCAGAACCCTGGATGTGGCAGGGTCTCCCTGAGCCCAAAGTGGCTCCTGGGACTCCAGTGACTGCAACAGGGGCCTGGGTCACTCCCCTCCCCACTTTACTAGTGAGGAAACATCAGACCTGGACAGTCCCCATATGTTCTTCTCCTTTCCCCAGCTGGTGATTACCGTTGGGGATAGGGAAGATGATGTGCTCATCAGTGAGGCCTAGGGTTTTGACAAAGTTGATGAAGATTTCCTTCAGCACAGGACGCAGCTCCTTGGTCCTCCCTGTGGCCAAGATGTCTGGTGAGTGTCTGGTGAAAGCTCCATAAATATTGTAGAATATATGAAAGACACCTCAGACCCCTTCCCCCTGAGGGGTTCTGTGGAAAGACCACTCTCCCACCTCCCTGGGCTTGGAGTGAAGGGCAACTTGGGAGCTGTGTGCGATGGGCCTCTTCTCCCCCAGCATGGCCAAGAGCAAGGTCCCAGAAGGGTTAAGACCCACCATAGAGGGTGATCTTGAAGAACTCCTGGTTTTTGTAAACTTTCTCAAAGAACACCATGGCAAACTGGTTGTAGTCTGTGGCCACCACTCGGACAGTGTAGTTCTTGGTTCCAATGTAACCTGTATGGTGGATGGTGAGTGATCAGCCTGCTCTAGCCAGGCAGAGGGAGCTATTGCTTCCTTCCCGGCCTCCACAGGATGGCGTCTGTGTGGAGGGGCAGGGAGGTCCGTGCCCCAGAGACCCACCCAACTCAGGACTCACGCTCGATGTTTCCCAGGGTGAATTGGCCTGGACGAGAACATGGGACAAAAGTTCTGATCCAGTAGTCACAGGCCTTTTTCCTGTGGAAGCAAGAGATGGGTGGATAAGAGAGTGACAGCCCACACATGCCATAGCAGGAGGCACACAACCCACCATACATATGGCCCTGGCTCTTCCCAACTAAGCCCACCCTCTCTGTCCCTGCCTATTCTGCCCTGAGACTCCTGACCTGCTTAGACTCTCCCCCAGCACCTACTCTCCCTCCTTCTTCGGTGCTGTTTCCCCTTGGTGGCCTTCCCTCCATACTCAACCCCCAACCTGAGGCATTTGTCCCTATTCTTTTTTTTTTTTTTTTTTACCTTTTTAAGATGTTCATTAATTTTTGAGAGAGAAAGAGAGAGACAGAGCACTACCAGGGGAGGGGCAGAGAGACAGGAAGACACAGAATACAAAGGAGTCTCCAGGCTCTGAGCATTCAGCACAGAGCCCGACCGGGGTTCTAACTCAAAAACTGCAAGATCATGACTCAATGCAAAGTCAGATGCCCAACCAACTGAGCAACCCAGGCGCCCCTGTCCCCTATTCCTATCTTGCAGCTTCTCGCTGTAACCTTGCCAGGGGAATCACCACCGAGGCTACAGTCTGCTGGATGCCAAAGACTCCTTTAGCTGTTGGGCCAACATCTGGTCCCCTGGCACTCCAGAGCCGATCTCCCAACACCTGCCCTTCTTCGGATTCTTCAATGACAGATGCTCTAGCCCCATATCCAAGTGCCAAATCCAGAAACCCAGAGGAGCTGGGTAAGCCTTGCCTCCCCTCTCTAGGTCCTAATCTGCCCCTGCTCTGGTCATCTCCCACCTATGACTGATCAGCCTCCTGGGCTGCACACCACCATTCCTCTTCCTGCTGCAGCCACACCCACTCCTCACCAGTACCTGAGGCCCCCACCACTGTGGTCACCACCCCTCTCCAGACCGCTCATCAGCTCCTGCTCAGGGCAGCCATACAATGGCTTGCTGTTTCTTTAAGAGGTGGCTATTTCTGTCTCAGTCCAGCAGTCCTGCCACGAAGGTCCCAGGCCTCCTTCTGACACAGGTTGGTTCCTCAAAGCCCAGCCCACAGTCCACCTCCCTGGAAGCCCTTGAGAACATCCTACGTGGATCTAGTGACCCTCCTCCCATTCTAGGTCACCCCTGTTCTCTTTATCTTGTGTCCTGATGTCTGTCTGTGTCCATCCCCAGGATTGTCTTCTGTCTGTGCTGAAGTGACCACAAAATGTTGATCCAGTGAATGAGAGAAAGTTAAATGCAGACATCCAGTACCCAGTGGTAGGATGAATGATCATCTTTCAGTTTTGGTCACCCCTCAGCTATATCATCAGTCTGTGTCTTGGACCCCCACCACAGCCCTCTAGGCCCCCCATGCTTCCTAGTTGCTGGTAGCTCTCACCAGACCACGGTAGAGGTGACATTGTAGCTGTTGTCTTCTTTCAGCTCGTAGGTGGTGGTGTACATCTTAAACTGGCTGTGTTTTTCTTTATTAATTTCATTCCCTGCCAATCCTATGATGTACCATTTTCCCTGGAACTACAATGGGAGCTGATGATAGACAGAACCAGGAGCAGCCCTAGGGGGCCCTCTTGCTCCATCCCTGCAGGCACCTCTAGGTAGCCTGGCCCAGAACCAGAAGCCCCTCTAACTGGGTTGCAGGCACCCAGACTGGCCACACAGGCTGGGCTGATGAACCTGGCAGGAGCTGGAGCTCATCAGGCCAGGCAGGAGCACTGAGTGTGTCAGGGAGAAGGTGACCCTTGGCAAGTGGACAGCTTGCTTCCCTGAGCCTCAGTTTCCTCATCATGTAGAGGGCCTGAAGACGTTCCCACCTGGCATGGACTGGGGGGATTATGGAAGAGAGTGTGGACCAGGGGAGTCTGCTCAGCTGACCCTCTTATCAGCAAGGTTGGGTGTGAATGGGAACATGGGGTGTGCCTTTCATCAGAGCACCCGAGGGCAGACTGAGCTAAAGCCTGAGCCCATCCTGCCTCTCCTCCCCTCTGTTCACACTCTTCCTGGGACCTCCCTGCAGCTGCCACTCCAGGCTCCTTACCTTCTCATTCTGGAAGTCAGGCTGCAGAGGGATCCTGTGCAGAGGTGGGGCTGGGATCAGGTTTGGGGTGGAATCCTGGGCCTGGGTCTGCAGGGCCCCCAGCAGGACAAGGCCCAGCCACAGGATACCTAGGGCCATGACTTCAGGGCTGAGGAAGCTGGCACCACTCCAGATATTCCCTGAAAGAGGAGATGAGTGAGGAGGCTTCTGGGGGATGCTATTTATGGTCTCTGTGGCCAATGGCTCACCCCAGGGTGGAGCGACTTATCCTTTGCCAAATCCCGAAGGGTGAGGCAATTGCCAGCAGCTCGTGCTGAGGATCATGGCAAAGTCTCTGCCCTTTCCCTCAGGTCAAGATTATGCAAGATGAAGGGCAGGAAGGTCCATGAGGCTGGAGGATGCATTCCCCATGTCTCCACATCTCTGGCAAGGACACTGATTCCCTCCACACTCTCTTCCCCCTGGTTAGCACTGTGTGTGGTCATGGGTCTCTGATATGGACCAGTTGTCATCTCTGACCTCCAGGAGCCTCTCAGCTGGGGCCCAAGTGCAGGGTGGGCTACATGTGGTGGGGTCCCCTTGTTGTACCTGATGAAAGCCGAGAATGCCTTGTGCCAACAGAGCCCATGCTGCTTTGTGGTCTTCCAAAAGGACAGGGAAAGGGGTGCAGCTGAAAGTTGACATTCTTCGTAGGGAAGGACAGAGTGTACCCTATGCTCTTCATGAAGCCCAGATCCTGGCCCTCCCAGGGACCCACACCAGGCCTTGACAAGGGTGAAAAACCCTTCCCCTCCCCCTACCACCGAAGGTCTACTGGGCAATGTTTGTGATGAGGGAGGATAAGGCAAGTGGAGGGCAAAGCACATGCTAGCATGCCCCTCCCTCCAGGGGATATGTGTGACATTCCTCAGGTACTCCTGACTACCTGAGAACAAAGGAAAGGAAAGAAAACAAATGATTAAGTGATAGACATCACAGTCCTGCAGGATGTGAGTCTCCATCAGTTTACCTATGTCCCAGTAAATTAGGAGAAAAAGGGAATCTTATCAATAGCCTAATCCTCAGAAACCCATACTCAGTTTCCTGGACACCCAACATCACCCTCCCACCTCCCTTGTGATATGGGGAACAAAGGCAAGAAGGAAATGGCAGATGGCATTAAATTTCATTATGAACTGCAACCCATTGATAAGTACTTGAGGCAAATATGGAGTATAACATTTCTCCAGGAATTCTCTACTGTATTTATGGTAATGCTTTGCTAGAGGAGAAAACAACCTTAGCTTGACAATAGCTAGGCCTCCAGTAATGTGTGAGTCTTCTTGAGAATATGAAAATCTCTTTACAAACTTCCTGTTAACTTTACCTCCCCAACCCCAATGTATATAACCAGTCACTCTTCACAATCCCAGTGCAGCTCTTTCTCCCAAGAGTCCTGTCCCCATGCTTTAATAAAACCACCTTTTGTGCACCAAAGATGTCTCAAGAATTCTTTTATGGCTGTCAGATCCAAAGCCCCACCATTCCAAAGACACAACATTCCCACGTTAAGTCAGTCCCTCCCCTCATCCATGCCCCATTGGTAGGGTGGATCCAGACCTCAGCTGACCCTAAGGACTTGGCCCCTCCTGTGGGCCCAGTAGACAGAAACCCCAAGCTGGGCATGGCAGCCACAAATGAGTCAGCTTGACAGAGCAGATATCTGAGGCTATAGTCCCAGATCTATCCTGGTGGGGGACAATGGGAGACATGCATCTGCATGTGTGAAAAGTGATGGTGGCTGGGGCCCAAGGGGGGGGGGTCTCTACCCTGCCACTCTGGACACCAGGTACCTTGGGTCACAGTGAGTGCTAGGACTCAGCCTCATTTTTGGGAAACCACTGATACCATCTGCCATCTTTGGCCATAGTCTTCAACTGTGGAGCCCAGGGGCTAGGCCTGGACCCCCCAAAAGTGTTCCTGCCATGGCTGATCCCAGCTTCGTCCTGGAGGGAAGCAGTTTCCGCATGGGGGATTAGCTGTCCATGGGAGGCCTGATGAGTCCCAGCCCCCGGGCAGTGTCTCCTAGATGTCACCACGAGAGTCAGAGCTGTCAAATGCCTGATCTGAGGCTGACCTTAGGTTCTCCCTGGCCTCAGATGAGACTCGCAGAGACCTCATGGGCTCTTCCACCTGCTTCTGGGGAACCAGCTCCCTTAGCCTGGCCCTTGGGTGGTGGGCTCTGAGTGAAGCGACTCTGGGTGAAGAGGGATCATCAGGCAAGCTGAGGGCTATATATAAGCTAGAAACCTCTCTGCCATGGTGGGATATGTGTGACATTCCTCTGGCTGCCCAAGAACAAAGGAAAGGAAAGAAAACAAATGGTTAACTGATAGAGATCATAGTCATACAGCACATGAGTCTCCATCAGTTTACAAATATCTTAGTAAGTTAGAAGAAAAAGGCAATTTATCAATAGTCTAACCTCCAGAAGCCCATAGACTCAATTTCCTGGAGCCCCTATTAAGACCCTAACCTCCATGGTGATGTGGGGAAGAAAGGCAAGAAGGAAATGGCAGGTAAAATTAAGTTTCTGGTACTCTGCAGCCCAGTGACAAATACTTGAGGCAAATACAGAGCACAACATTTCTCCAGGAACCCCTACCATTCCTAATGTTAATGCTTTACTAGAGGTAAAACAACCTAGGTTTGACAATAGCAAGGCCTCAAGTATTTTAGGAGTCCTCATTAACATGTCAATGTCCTTCTGGAGGCCTCTCTCCAGTTCATCATTACTTCCCCCAATTTCATAGTATATAACCAGTCACTCTTCATAACCTCAGTGCAGCTCTTTTTGCACATGGGTCCTGTCCCCGTGCTTTAATGAAATCACTTTTTTTTTTTTTTTTTTTTTTTTTTTTTTTGGCACCAAAGTTGTCTTCAGTAATTCTTTCTTGTCTGTTGCTCTGGAACCCGCCACCCACCCCACTCTAAAACCTCATCTTTTGGCGCCAGTGTGGGGGTCTGAGTCCTTTAATCTGGTCCCTGAGCTTTGGTGCAAACTTGGTGAGTACTTTCTCTTTTCTTCCTTTACTCTCATTTTAGGAATTTCAAGGAGTATGATCTTATTGCAACACTTTCCTGTCCATTGCTCAGTCTGTAATCCTCTAGCTCGTGGTTACTCTATGGGAAGGAGAAAGCCTGCCTTTTGGCTGGAAGTGAGTACCCAGGCCAGAATGGTAAAAAAGACCCAGAGTCTTGTGCCCTCTCTTTATTCCTGTTCTTATACATAGTTGTCTGTGTTGGACACGGGACAGCCACCTAAGTGACTAGCACAGATGCAAATCTTAAGACTCCTGTGTGAGGTTTCCTCTTCATCGGTCTAAAGTGATCCCATCTACATCCCTGATCTAGCCACTTCTGGCTGTAGGCCCTCCCCTGGAAACCCATAGAACTAGTAACTGATTGAATTTAAACACAACTGGGGACCATTTCCTAGGAAGTTGGCTGAAAGACTGTATGTGTTGGCATGTAGATTAGATCATGATGGGTTTCTGCCGTCACTGTTTTCAGTCAATGTTCCTTATTAACTACTACTTAAAGTACAAAATTGGGCAATTCCCCTTTGTAATACTTTTCCAGTGTTTTCCATGAGTTAAAAATGGTGGTTTCTTCAGCCTTCTCAGCAAGGTCCATCTGCTGACACCTATTTGTAGCCTAGGATGCAATGGGAAAGTGGGGAGGGATGCCAGTATCCCTCCTACAGAGGCCCTTAGGGGCTGGTTGGTGATCATAGCAATTTTGTTCAAGGTATGCCTCGGGTCACTTTGACACCTCAGGAACCTCTGATATATCCTGCACGTGGGATGCCATCTGGGAGGTGGGGGTGATTTTCGTGGTAATGGACCGTCTCTGCTTTTCTCTCTCTAGAAAGAGGATGGGAGCTTCTCATCAGTCCCCAAACTCTCCCTTGGGATGCCTTTTCAACCCACTGGAAACAATTTGGGTTGCAAAATTTAGGAAAGGACTGATGTCCCATAACATTGCATGACCTTAGTAGAATCTAGCAGTTAGATTTCTTCTGCAGAAAACAGGGTCAATGGACGGAGGTACCTGAGGTCTAGGCCTTCACAGATTTAAGGACCTGAACCAAAAGGCCTCTTATAGAATGTATTTTCCCAAATGTGTGTGGCTAGTAAACTCCCTCCTGGCATAGTGGATGTCCTAACAGGCCTCCTGATGGAACTCAGGTGCTAGAAGAAACACAGACCATCCCTGACAAAGGGCATGCTGACTCTTTCTCTCTGTTCCTCCTCCTAATAGATGTGGGAGGCTCTCCCTCACTCATTTCCTGAGTTAATGACTATATTTGGAGCCAACTGTGGTTAGTCTACCTTGGGCAGGGACTTAAAAAAATATTCCCTTTAGGCAAATATTCCCTTTAGGCAGCTGCCTAAAGTCCCTTTGTTTTTAAATTTTTTTTCAACGTTTATTTATTTTTGGGACAGAGAGAGACAGAGCATGAACGGGCGAGGGGCAGAGAGAGAGGGAGACACAGAATCGGAAACAGGCTCCAGGCTCTGAGCCATCAGCCCAGAGCCCGACGCGGGGCTCGAACTCACGGACCGCGAGATCGTGACCTGGCTGAAGTCGGACGCTTAACCGACTGCGCCACCCAGGCGCCCCTCTTTTGACTTCTGGGAAGACGACAGCTTTAGGTTATGTCTTTATCAGGTCTTTGACCACTTAGTTAAAACTTCTCACTGTTAAAGGACCTAGGTTTTGCTAACAACAATATAACCCTACATATTTGCTTTTGGAATCTCTTATTGCCATCTTGGTTAAATAAATACTTTAAAGCGTTAAGATTTATAATGATCGGAATCCCATTTCAGATGTGCTCTATCACTTTCTAAGGTTTAACAAATGACCCAGGATTTCAATTGTAAAGAAAGTCTTTTTGATCAAGGAGGACTTTTTATTCGGTATGTTAAGTGAAGACCCTTTTAAATCGTCATAAACCTTAGGTGATATTGTTTGGGTAAATGCTGGAACTGTTCAAATGTATGTGCAATTCCCAAATCTCTAAATGAATATGCAAAACATATCCTTCTTAAACCTGATCTGACAGTTACTAGAAACCCAAACCATATAAACCCCAAACACCTGGTTTATTTAAAGATTTAAAGTCCAATACAACAGGGGATTTAACTCCA